CCCTCGATCTCGTCAAAGCACACTCACAGATATCGGGAATAATGTTTTTTCAAGTGGTTTTGAAATTTGCTCGACTTCGCATTTGCTGGGCTATACTGTTGCACTACTTAGAGCGGCATTCTGGTTGGTTTTATTCGAGTATTTACGTCATTGTACTCTTAGCTCGTGTGAACTGATCTTCTCATGCCGGCTTACATGAGTATTGGTTTAGGCTAGAGGTACGAAGTTGTGTTGTTTGGAAAAGTTGAATTTTGCAGTCGTTTTCCATTTTTGTAAAGTTTCATTCACAATGCGTCTGTTCTTTGGTAAGAAGAAAGAGCAGAAGAAGTCGGCTCCTCCTCCACAACAGGTGAGGACACTCTCTGTCTGCTATGAAACTTCTTATATTGTCGCTTTTTGCGGGTTTATTCGAAGTAGTTATGAAATCCAAAATTGAAAATTTTCATCTGTAAAGTTGTACGGTGGAAATAACTAAGAGGTTGCTACTGTGGAGATGTTCATATTAATTTTGCTTGTCGCGGGGTTATATCACAATACGCTTGTCGGTTTGCACTATGGCGATGTATCGTTATAAGAGGCCTAAGATTACCCGCTGAATCTGAGCATATAAGTAAACGAAGGAAGAGAAACTGATAAATATTCTCTTAGTAATGATAAGTGTAGATCAATTTTTTTGTGATGGAGAAGGACATGTGGCCCGAATCGATCAACGAACACTATATGGTGATTTAATAACTTTATATCGACAGTTTTATGATAGTTTCGAAATTAGTTATGATTGTAGTATATAAGATCGTTCAAGAATAATATGAATGAGTTATGCAATATCGACATAGAGTAGTACTATTAAAGTAGTCGTGTTTGAAAAGTGGCAGATAGGGAGCACGTGAGTAAACATATCGTGTTGTACTGCATTTACAAAGTCAAGTCTGTAAGTATGTGTTCATTATAAATATTATCGTGACAGCGTGTACCACACTTTGCTAGAATTATAAATATCTATTGTCAATTTTTCATGAATGTAAAAGTTGACTCTCTCACTGGGTGAGAGTTTGAAAAGTATGAGTTTACTCTACCAAATGATTTATAGCTCATTTTCACAGTAAAATGTTTTATAATGATGATCATAGTAGTACTAAATATTAACTAGTAATTTCTAACAGTTTTATAATATAGTATTACTTCGTCACTTGTGCTAACAGCCGCCGAGGGTGAGGAATTGACGAGGCGATTTGGTCTGCTTCTTCGTATTGAAATATATATAGGGATTTTAGTATAATCTTTTGTGGAAAAAACGGAGATTTTTTGATTTTTCGTTTTTTTTCAGAATTTGCCCGATGCAATTATGAAGAACAAGGAAGCGATCGAAACGTTGGAGAAGCGGGAGCTGTTGATTGAGAAGAAGATGGCAATACAGGAACAAGAGGCTCGTAGTCCTGGGAGGGGAAGCTGACCGGTCGCGTTAGTAGTAGTTGATTTTTATACCGTGGTTTAGTTAGAATTACGGAGTTACTACAGCGTTATGTTTGTAGAATAATTGTATAAGTAATAAAATATTGTATTGATTCGGAATCAATACAATATTTTTAATATAATTTTTTCCGAAAAGATGTTCTTTTTTACTCTTCGCTGAGGAGCTTTAAAGAATTATCCAAAATTATA